AAACTGTGAGCATTTCCTGAGACTTATAACCCGGCTGCAGATTTAAAGGGCCCCTTTCCGATGTATCTCAACGACCGCTTGGTAATCAAAAAAATGGTAGTAAGATGTTATAGTATAGATCTTATATATTCAAGACATTTGACCATGACTAGTTGAACAGATTTGAATAGTTCACGATTTGTAATAAATTTATATATGCAAACACTAATGGATTTGAACAGATTTGAACAGTTCACGATTTGTAATAAAAATATAAAAGCGGAAAACGTCAGAAAAATCATTATTATATTTTTACAAATAAAGCTTTAGAAAGTGGGATAGAAATATAAAAACATATTTTTTTAGAATGAAACGTTTATTTCTTTATTATAAACAACTTCGCCGTCTTTTTCCTTTTATTACATAGTCAGATCTGACTTAAACATATAATAACATAATTACATAGTAACCATGTATATAAAATGTAGCTATATGGTGTATAACAAAATACTCAGTATCTACAAACATCTGATTAAAAATGGGATATTTTCAATAATTTACGTGTATCATTTAAAATGTGGAAAACTTGACGAAGACGAGTCACCAAAATAATAATACATATTTAGTCGTAATGCCAAATGATTAATTATATTATTGAAAATAAAAATCCAGACATAACATTTTTTTTTTATTTCTAAATTATTATTATTTTCATAGTGCCATAGACCAAAATAAGAATCATATATTTTCATTTTGAATAAAGTAATTAATGAAGATAACCTTTTGTTCTGATAACTTTGAGTCTAAATATAATATAATAATTTATACATAGATTTCAATCAAAAATTGGTATTATTTCTTTGATGACTAATTCAATATTACAGGACCTTTAATTTATTCTATCTACAACTATTTACATTTAAATTATTATACTTTATTTACAATATATTTATAATTACAACATTATGAAGTAAGGAAATTATAAAAAATAACTCCAGACTAAGAACTAAACCTACATAAAGAGAAATGTCTTTAAAATGTAATAATATTATGGTTTAATTTTAGTATTTCATTACAAAATTTGTTTTTGATTATTTTTATTTAATATTCATAATTTAAGAACCACGCTCTTATCGGTGGAGCTCCTGCCACTTCTCACGATCTTCCATCATTCTTTTTAAATATTGATACGACACGACTCCAATATTGTTTTTAATTTGCTTGATGTAACTGTTCCTTGGTCTTTCCCTCCTTCTCATTCCTTCTATTTTTGCCTCAAGAATAATATTCATAAATTCATCGTACCGTATCAAGTGTCCCAACATTTTTTATATGACAATTTATATGATATGAAAACAAAAGTACTCAATAAATTGTGCTTATAAAATTACAAGTTCAGTATTGTTAAATTTTAACATTCTATTTATAAATAATCAGTTATTATTAATTCTGTTTTTGATTTATGAAATATTGAGTCATCATTATAAAATGTAGGTATTTATGTTATAATTAATGTAATTTATCGTTATAATAAATTTTCTACCTAGGTAGATTTGTACAAAATCGCATGCGTGGGGCACCTTTGCATCGCCTATTATAAATATTAATATTAACCACTTTTTTACTAACTATTCTAATGCTGTTGGCCGCAGCTAGCCTTTACAGCTTTACCGAACGATCAGGGGCTAGTGCAGACGGCACTTCAGACCTGCGGAAGTACTTATGGAGCGGCTGAAGGCCAACTCCTGCCTGACGAACATGACTTTAATGAAAGCATCGCCAGTGCTTCGAACCTCTGCTCAAACCGTCGTAGTTTCGATAGTCGTTTAAATTGGACGGGGAAAATACTAATTTGCTTTTTAAAATGCATTACGGTTGAGGTGCAAGATATGGCAGTGAAATAATAGGAAATTGATGCATATCTTAATCGCCCGGAATTAGAATGGTTGAAGAGAGCCACAAGCGTTGCATGATGACGTGATATTCGTGATTCTGTTCATGTATATAGGCGAGGGTTGTTATTAGATGATTTTGCTATTCCCGTTACATAACAAAAAAATATTGTAGTCCAAGTAGTAGTACTTGTCTTTCTCGCTCATTCTTGAATATCCATTACTATCATTTTCTCTCTTTATAAAAAATGTTTCTTTATGTCTATGCTTTATGCCCAACATCGTACACAAAAAAACCTAAGAAATGCCACCGAATGCGCTAAAATCGTCGCAACTTTCTGAAGAAAATACATTTATTGCCATTGAATGGGAAGTAGATTTTCATAGAAATAAATCGAAAAAAAATTGTATACAGTATGGTAAATTGGACGATTTCTAGAAAGAAACCAAAGTTACCTGGCGTAACTTGAATGTTGATAATTGTAGCACAGTTGCCAGGCAGAGCACAAATATATTTTATTAAATTTAATTACGAAAAACTTGGAATATAATTTATATATTTCTGTCAGATACATATTGTAATTTAATTTTGTGTGTTAGCTTTATTTTATAATTTACTAAAATATTCGAATTCTAAATTAAAAGAATAAATAGGTAACATTAATAGATATAGGTTCGTACTTAAAAATTTTTATATGCGATTCTTATTTTTTGTTTCTTTTATGATCAATTGAATCTAGACCGAGGCAATAAACTAGATTGGTACCCATTCATAAAAAATATATATAAATAAATAATAACCCAAGACAATTCACACAAATACACATGGTCCCAAGTCAAGCAGAGCATGGGATTAGATAATTGATCGAAATACTTTTTTTTGTATATACGTACATACACATATTGAAAACACCCAAACTACAAACAATCATGCGCATGAATACAAATGTTTATAACGTACGAGGAATCAAACACGCGACCATTGTAAGTAAGACGGAGTGACAAACCGCTAAACCACACTTCATAATATCTACAGTACTGAAGTATACATTGTTTTCGTCAAAAATTTCTAAACAGTTTTAAAAATGTTACAATATATACCTTTGCATTTTCTCCACGTAAAAATATAAAAAAAAAATAACAAAGACACTATACAACAAAGTTTTGTAACATAAAATGAAAACATTGCGGTTAAGTGGCGGCTCAGTAAGTAACTTTTCACCCACAGTGGAACCATTGAACAATAAACTCAAAACTTTCGCTTTCTCATTAAATCTTTTGGGATTAATAGACCGAGTGGTGAAGATTAAAAAAACCAGCCAACTTTAAATACAAACACAAATTAATTACAATATTATTTAACAAGAAGATATATTGTTATTGCAAAACTTAATATTAAAATTTCAGTTATGATTGCAACTTAAAGCACCATTTCTCAATAAACAAGTATATATACAGTATAATTCCATAAGCCTTTTCGTTATAGTATACAACGCTGAAAAATTAACTAAGAATCTAAATTGATATTATAAGATAATTGTTTTTCTTTTCAGTAGTGTAACAAGTAACTTAAGTAACTTATTAATTTAAAACTTTAATATTTATAAACAGAGGACACAATCAGAACTTTTGCGTTCTTTTTTGTACTTTCTGTGCATTAAAAAAGTTTAATGTTTAATTATATCTGATCTGTACCAATAATATTAGCATAATAACTGTATTACTTACAAAATTAATATTTAATCATAACAGTAGTTTAAAATTATTTACAGTGTAATGTCAGATTTAATACACTGAAATACAAATTATAAAAGTGGCTCTCAAACTCTAGTAAAAACAACAAAATTTTGACTGACTGGTTGCACTAGTAACTAACATAGTTTAATTATTTGGCTCAAATATTTTGTTATTACAGGTAACTAAAATATTTTTTGTTTATTACTAATCTTTGGTTACTTCTAGTGCAACCGAACTAATTCATTTCATCATTCTTTTTCAATGTAGGTTAATCTAACTCTATAAAGATCTTTAAGTTACCAAATCTTCTTATTAACTGGGCTCAGTCTAGCTAGCAGCTATATTAGTAATATACTTTTTAATTGTGTTTAATCGTTAGTATCTTTTCATGATATCTACTAACGTATATATAAACATTTTATGTACACACAAATTTTTGCCTTCAGTCGCTCCATAAGTCCATTCACGGATTTTGAGTGACATCTATACTCGCCCCCGTTCTGTGAATCTGTAAAGGGTAACTGCGGACAACAGCTTTTGAATAGTTCAAAAACAAAAACTGAAATGTTCATATACAATAGTAGGTTAAAAAATTTTTAGCCAACTGGTTTTTTAACCCAGGTAGACTTTGTAATAAGTTTTTTTGCGTGGGTGCCTCAGTCTCACCTATTTCGGCCGCCAAGCAACTTATTATGTAAACTGTTTCAGTTTAGGGTGAGATTTAGCAGTGATATTACAGGATTAGAGGCACGACGTCTTTTTTTATTAAGGGGTTTAGGCTATTGTCAGGTACTTTAGACCTGTAGCACTGCGACCTACATAGATCTATTGTACTCGCCCTTTTTTAAAGTTCGCTACCTATACCCGTCAGGTACAAAAATTGAAGGATATTCTTAATAGCCATGGTTAGTATCTCCTCAGGATAGTGGATATTTTTCAAAGGATATATTTCGTTTATGCATGAATGGGCTACAACCACATAAGATATGTAGTAGCGTTTTAGTCCTCTGAAATATATGATAACGTGATGTTCTTGGAACTATTCGTATATAAAAGTGACAGTTACCACTTACCATTAGGAGGAGCGTCAAATTATTTCAATTACAAAAAACGATTGTGTATTGTTTATTTAAATAACTTTTCAATTTATCTAAGAGAGGATAAATGTTATAGTATACTTACATTATATCACAAACGTATTAAAATGTTAACTTATTGCATGAGGTATTCATATAATACTGTAATTATTATTCTCTTGTTGCTATTATATCTAAAATTATTTACACATATTATAAACAGACAAAAAAATGTGTCGAATTTATTCAATTGAACACATTTTTTTCACCAGACTTTAAAAGTCTTCCAACCAAAAGTTCTGATTATATGCCACAGGAAACTTTACCCTAGCGATTTATCGTAACTTTATCTAATTACACGAATTATGCATCCATCGCGTGCCGGCTATGTGTCAGCTTGTCAGCGCAATAAACAAAGCCGCCAATGAAAACGAAAGACTCGCGGCGCCCCCACGCTGCATCGCGAGAGGATTTTCCCCTGAAAAAGAAATGTAATTTGAATAATCTGTCGGTAATTAGGGGCGAGTTCACGAAAGTTAATCACGGGTCGTAGTATTTTATTAGGAAAATTCACTGAAAGGTAATTACGGGGAAATATATTTGAACAATACGAAGTTAGAAAACAGTTTAGTTTTAACAGTATGGTCGATTTGACAGACATAGGGTTTGTACAAAGTTATCTGAGTAAACAGCTATGTATCGAACATTTCTTATCATCAACCAACTTGATTTGTAAGCTGTATTGAAGGATGTAGAATGTAGGATATGTTATTTAAGTGATATTGCAGAGTACCAAGGCATAACACTTTAGTTCTTCGGTATAACAACAAAGAACAAAGAACTTTTGCTAGAATACATATAATCAAATACAATACAATATTTGGTACACAAACTGTATTTTATATTATGTTATAGAATACTTTTTAACTAATTCACACATGCAGAATCGCGGGATACCTCTAGTTAAAAATAAACCGATCCTAAAACAAAATTTCCATCATGTGATTTTCACAAATATAACGTTACTTTATATTATAAACACGCACGTGTATACGAGTATCTGTAGATATTTTTAGATGATAATATTTTATTTAGCTCGCAACAGAATTGTAATGAAAACGTGCTTCAGTTCAAAGTAATTGCTGAAATAAAAAATGTTACTAATTTTACCATAGCTGTTTTAATGTTTGAGGTAAAATAGAATAAAGCAATCTTAATTGAGTAAATTTAATTATGAATATTTATTTCTCGGTACTATTGTTATAATCGGAATCCGTGAAGTCCCTAGAGTGTAATATTTAAGTAATTTATTAATAATAACCTAAGAGTGTAATATTTAAGTAATTTATTAATAATAACCTAAAAGTATTAAATAATACTTCATATTATAATCCAATAGTTCGAATGTGTCGCCAATACAATGAAATTCTTGTCTCGAATAGAAATATAGATATTTTCCATTCAACGCTGGTCCAGTTCCGGAGACAATTAAATTTGCACCATAAAGAGACAGATTATATTGAAAATTGTACCAATTTTTGTTTAATATAAATAAAATTTTGTTAACATAATAATTCATTGCATTACGTAGTTATATACTATTTTCTATTTAGTTTACTTTTCATTATATAACCTTATCTAGCTATCTAGCGTATATTGAATACGTCTATATCTATTTAGCTTTTAGGCATACATAGTGTTGGATTACAATCCAGTTTTGTACCGAACTACACGTTCCTAATTATATTATTGTATTGATTGTAATCTGTTTTGTAAGCTAATAAATTAATTAATTAATTAAAAAGTTTACTTTGTGACAAATAGAGGATCTTTACTATTAGAAATTCTTTAAATATATTTTAATAGTATATAAACTAACGTATTTAATGTCAAGACATGCTTAAGTAAAGACTAAATCAATTTGACACAGATATGCTTTTAATATAGATGCATTTTAACTGAAAACTAAACCTTCATGAAAGACCTCTTATGTGCAAGAGATAAAAAATCATAATATCTTTATTCTTGTAGGTCTATTACAGATTCTTATATGTCAAATCTAGCGTCAGTTCAGAGGGCTTTCGGGATCAGAGGAACTGACAATATATTCATTCTTATTCTTTTCAAGTAAACTAGTATATGATTACAAAAATTCAGAACATTTTTTAATTCAATTAAGGAGAATATAGTGAGCATCAGCATATGCTATTGCTTTTTTGTCGAAAGGAAATATTTTTTCAGCCGTAACCCGAACAGACCAGTCTCCATAAGCAATCAACAAGTTCATGTAGTAATGAACTGAAGCATTTTTAATTACAAACTAAATCGTTTTGCATGGTACCTTTTATATCTGCTGCATGACAAAGTACTTTTAAAAGAAGCAAAAGAAGAAGATTCTTTAAGAGCTTTGTTAGAGTTAAATGGAAAATGCAGTTGCTAATGAGTTTTATATAGTTCGAATGTTCCTTAATAAGTTTTGTCCATATCTTTACACTGATAATAGTATAATAGTCGTATTTCTTGAGAAGCAACAATGTTATATTCATTTTGCGATAGATATAAGAAACTTTTTGTTTAAACAATACCTATATATTTAACAAGATTAGTATACACACATAAGTATACTCGTATATTTTAATATGTATTTAGTGAAAAGTAGTTTTTTTTATTTATTTGGATATAGGCTGGTATGGTGCGATTACCACTTAGCATCATATAGACAGATAATTTGTATACCTTTTCAATTACATAAAAAAACATTCGTAAATTATTATACAAATAATTGTTTTTTACACCTTCAATACATTAATTAATTATTTACCTTTGAAATATTTATTCAACTCAGTGATTTTATTTTATTTATTGCGTTTATTGTCTGTATAATCAAATGTTTACCTCTCAGTACATGAACGGATACAGCGGATGCTGCTACATCCGCCAAAGAGCACGTATAGTTCCCAGAATCATTTCTGTTCGCATTCGCTATATACAGCCGGGAGAGAGCGCCGTTTGAGGTTGCCTCCGTTTTCACACTGCCGACAAAAGAAATATCATTAGAATTTTAAATATAAATTAATCTTAATTTATAGTACACTAGCTACCCGATCCACCTTCGCATGGGTAGGTACGTATTATACACATAAATCTATATCTTGAATCACTTCATATATTGCTAAAAATTGCATTAAAATCGTTGTATGGTTTAAAAGATCTATGTGGACAGCAGAGGGGATTCCCTTTCTTGCCACATCGTCTTTCACACAGTCCATCCATGAAGCTAGAAGCTTGAAACTTTTTTTTTTTTTTGACCTCCCTACCTTACTAATATTATAACTGTAAAAGTCTGTCTGTCTGTCTGTCAGTGTCACTTACACGCCAAAACTACTGAACAGATTTAAGTGAAATTACCGGCGACAAAGCGACTTTATAAACTTTCCAAATTTACGTTTGTGTAACGTTTGTGTAATAAACCGTTATTTATCTATATATTACTTAAAAGTAACTGATATAGTGATCTATCAACGCACAGCCCGAACCACTTGACGGATCGGGCTGAAATATGGCAAGCAGGTCGATGTTATGATGTAGGCATCCGCTAAGAAAGGATTTTGATTAATTCTATCCCCAAGGGGATAAAATAGGGGATGAAAGTTTGTATGAAACTTTGTTAATTTTAAACCGATCGGGCTGAAACTTTGCATGCATAAAGCTACTATGACATAGGCATCCCCTAAGAGAGGATTTTTATAAATTCCACACCATCATCATCATCATCTGCTTCTTCCTTATCCCATTTATATTGATATATTGATAATAATTCCACACCATGGGGATAAATTAACGCAAGCGAAGCCGCGGGCAAAAGCTAGTTATTGTATAAAGTCTACATGTGTAGAACTGTTACTAGTAACAAAATCTTGAACAAAGTCGGAACACCTCCACATTGTGTTAACTACTGCAAACTTCACACTGAACCGAAGTCATTGTCAAACTGCAAACCGACTAAACTTCATTGCAAATATTTAATTAAAACGTCCACTAGACCGCGATCGCTTTAACGAAATCTGACTTTAATTAACTATACGCAGACAAATCGTATAATAAATCTTTGAAACCCTTTATATGGTACAAAGGGCCACGTTTCCGGATGCCTTTGTTCGTTTTGTAACTAATTCAGAATGTCACCAATAGTCTGTTGAAATTAGAGCAACGGTTTATTATTTAATTACATTTTGATGATGCGATTAAAATTATTGGAGAGGCGGATGAAAGACAGGGATCAATGACACGAATGATTTGCTTACTCAGATAATCATACTGAAGTCAAACACTAGTAATAATTAGTAATGCGTCAATTACAGAACTAATCTTATTAATTAATATTATAAATGCGAAAATTTCTTGGTATGGATGCATATTTATTAGTCTTTCATGCAAAAAGTACTGAATGACTTTTGATGAAACTTAACGATAAGATAGTAACACATAGGTTATAAATTTCACGCGAGTCAAACTGCAGGCACAGCTTATACCTATAAAGCGTTAGTTTGTTTGAATGTATAACATCTGGAATTACCTATTTTTCATGAATATTAGAGACTACTAACTATGGCTGCGGATTCACTCGAGTAAAATTTATAGTATATATGTTACTTTGATGTATACGCTGTATTACTGTAAAGTTTCATCAAAAACCGTTTAATAGTTTTTGCGCGAAAGAGTAACAAACATCCATGCATCCATACTTAAAAACTTTCGCATTTATAATATGAATAAGGTAAACACCACGCTACTCTTAGGAAGACAAAAGTCAAAATAAAGTAATAAGGCAATTTATGAACCAACGAACTTGTTATACAAAAGTGTACTTTACGAATGTATGAAATGCAGTACGCACAGAGAGGATAATGGCATAAACAAAAATTTAAGATTTTTTTTTCAGTGCCCTGATACATTCATTTGGTATTGATAGAATCTGCTTTTTCGGTATTGATAGAATTTCAAACAAGGACTTCCTATAATAAACTAGTAATATTTGTCTTCATTTATAAAAGCGTATCGTTATTTCTATATGACTGGTAGTTTATAAAATATTCTAATGCTATGACTACACAAACTAAAATACTTTTGTTAAAAATGTTAATTAAGTTAAAATATGTGAACACAAACTACCAAGTATAGCGTTATTTGGTAGTTTTTATTCACATATTTTAACTTAAAAATGTAAACTTTACAACATTTGTTTAAAAGAGCTTGTTTTTCTTGTGTTGAGATAGCTTTTCGAATGAGTACATTAAAAAATCTAGTAATAGTATATTAAAAAAATAAATATAATTATTCTGCTTCTATTAAGCTACTTAAATTAATTAATAAATTTATTTGTAAAAAGATTTTTCTATTCCATAGTTATTTTTTACTGTTATATTATCAAATTTCTGTTTGAAACATTCGGCATTTATTATCAACTTAAGCTTCATTAAATAATGCCCTAAATACATAACATTGTACAAACATATATTCATTATTCAAAAGTGCTTAAATATAAGTTTATTTGAATAAAGAATATTTTATTCTGTTATCTTATCAAATTTCCGTTGATTTTATATAAAATCCAGCATTTATAATTTTAGGCTTCATTAAATAATACCCTAAATACATAATATTCTACAAAAATATATTCACTGTTTTACATTTCGTAATATTTAAGCCGTCAGTACCTACTGAATGTTGTCGAACTATTTACTGTCTGCGAAATTATGACTCACAGACAGATATTAGTATTCTGTATAATGAAACATTACATTTTGGCTTGTTGTATCCTAGATTGACTTATTATATGATATATCATTCCTTTATTAGGGCTTATTACACTATTATGCAAATAGAATCACATAGAGAAATATATAAAGTATACCAAAACTCAATCTCAAGTCTAGATTAATCCTAAGCTATAATAAAATCTTTATATTAGATATTGTGTACTTTTAATAAAGCAAAAAGTATAAAATAATATGTATAAAGTTTTTATGTGAAAGAGCAATAAATATTTACCAGAGATAAGCTGTAAAAACTCGTCTGAGCAGTTACCTCAGTCTCTCTTATTTCAGTTGCTAAGCAGTTAATTTGTAAGCTGTATTCTAGTTGTATGATTAGATTAAACAGTCAAATTAAGGATAAGAGGCATTACATCTTAGCCCTCTGGAGTGACATGATTGGTTTCGCGTATGGTACATGATAACGTGATGTCCGTTATACTATTCATGCATATAGGCGAGGTTACTTACTCTTAGATAGGCATGTTGGTTTACCATTCCAATTACTCAAAATGAGGCCTCTTCTTCCAGTACTTCTCTCTTTTTAAGTGTCCCACAATTATTACTTCTTATCAAATATCAGTAGAAATTTATACATATATATAATATATATACTAGATTGTGTTGTATACCTCAATATTATCAAAGCGTGGATATTACCTAACCAAAATGACCAAACCCTTTGCTATAACAGTTTATAGGTAATAAACATAATATATTCTGCCCCCAAACGTTTCGGATTAAATTTATGGGGTGTTAAATACCCTTATTTGTTTGTTTGAATTGCCCGAGAGATTTACGGGGGTAATATTAATTAACTTCTAAATGATAACCGTAGCTCCAGGCAACTGACTGGATAGAAGTTGCACTCGTAACTTGGCATCAGGGATGCCAACCATACTGGGATACTAATAAAGGATAAAATAAGGATACAAATGCGAGTATTTTGATCTTTGGTAAGAACTTTTCACAATTGGACAAGTTTGTACGTGTTTTTGACCTTCGAAAATCGGTCAAAATACAATTATGTACAAGATTAGAGAGCCTAATGTATGGGATTTTATCAGATTTCTATATTTATTTGTACGAGGCTGTATTTAAGGTTGCCATCCTTGGTTAGCATCCAAAGTATAGCGTAAAACAATTTTAATTAAGTTTTGCAACTGATTAATTGCGTAAGAAAATGGGTTTTATGCCGCGGACCCTTCACGAGTGTTTTCGATTTGTTTTTTTGGCTACAAAAGTATCGTAGCAGGGAAAGTAATTTTATGTTTATTTTTTGTAAAGTGTAGACTGTCTACATGATTTTAGTGTATAATTAATTAAGATTTTATATTAAATCTTTTACTCTTTGTAGACATTGAGGAAGAATTTTCATTTCTAGAACATCAGAAACATATCTAATAAAAAGACGAAAATTCGGAATTTGATTCTATATCAAACAGTTTGGCCAGTATGATAATTGTGGGCCTGAAATAATTTTATTATATTTTTTTAATACAGATTTTTTATAACAATATGAAATATAATAAATAAATCCTATACTTTTTATACCGGACAGACTACATCCGAGTGAACCTTCATGGCATAGGCATAAATAAAAAGATAACACATAAATTATTTATCAAGTTTTATTAAAAATACCTATTATAATGATTTACTGAAGTGGCCACTACAACTTCACCGTAAGAAACTGAACACAGTGCAGAAAGCACTTCAAAATCCGCGGAAGGACTTATGGTTTGGAAGAAGGCAGGGATTAGCCCTGTCTGGCGGCGCTAGTTTGCAACTCGACTCAGGTCATCGTTATTTCGATCACCATTACAATCGGATATCGATCGTTCAGCGAAGTGGAATTATTATTACAATGACGATATTTCCATCCAACCTTTAACTCCGCTTTTCATTCTCTTACAACCTTTTTATCGCATCAAAAAGTAGCCTATATCCCTTATTTTAGGCTCTAGTTATATCTGTATCAAATTTCATTCAAATTGGAGCAGAAGTTTAGGCGTGAAAGCGTAATAGACAAACAGAGTTACTTTCGCATTTAATATTAAGTAGAGTTAATCTTATGTATTCCATACCTAAATATTTTTCTATTTTTTAACACTATTACGTGGTAGAATTGACGTGTAACAACATGTACTACCGAAACCTTTGTTAATTCTTCTATATCAATCATATGTCTAATTTATAAAAACACAATGATAATGTTGTTTTAATCAAAGTAACTAATTTCTTTCTACGCTTGACAATGACTGATGTAACTACGAATAATTTAATACGGAAATTACCTAATAAATTGCCTAGTTTTTTTTTTATTAAAGCTAATCAAAATGAAAACGGGCCATGTGTACGTTCTCATTTGAGGTAAACTGCTGTAACCGACAGTCAGAATATTTGGCTTTATATGCATATCCTACATAAATAATACGTAGTTTTGAAATCTTATATAAATGATGAGTGCATTATCGGTGATAGAAAGTAGGTTTATTAAAAACATTAATCTTCTAATATATAAAATTCTCGTGTCACAGTTTTTGTAACAAAACTCCGTCGAAACAGCCCGACCCTTTCTTATAAAATTTTGTGTGTGTGTTCAATCTGAGTATGGGACGTAAAGTATATTTAATGCCTCTAAGTGATGTGTTTTAACACAGATAACATAATATTACATAGTTTTATTATAAATTTCAAACGGAGGTCATTTTGACCTAATTTTTAATGGAATACTTGTTGTAATATTGTCTAAATCTAAATCAATTTTAGTGTATCTTTTTTATATTGTAATAACTATCTGTTTGTTAATGTTTCACGTAAATATAACGAAGGAGAAATTAAGATGAAATTATCATAGAACATTGTTGTTAAATATGGATCTAAAGATAGGTAAGAAAAGTACACTTTTGTTACATATATGCTTAGTTTTTGTAATGTAAAATTAAACCCACTTTGTTTTATCTTTTAATGGCATTCTCGTATTGCTATTTTGTTTTATGTACTGTTTTCAATGTTGCCATTTAACACTGTTTTTACTACACCTATAAAAACGAAGACATAACAATATCTCATTGTTTATGCTATACTCGCAAAGTAATAGTGTGCTATGTTCCTATTATTTTTAAATGAGCTAAAATTTTATGTGGCTGATCAAATGTGTGGAGCGTACTAGCTCAGTGGTTTATTACTACAACTTATACAGCTGAGGTAGTGAATTCAAATCTAGCTAATTCCACAGACTATTGCACGTTAATTTCTATTTCGACTGTTTATTCTTTATTGATAGAAAAAACAATAATAAACGACATTAATTCGAGATATGACGATTGGTCGGCTCCGTACCATTTTGGATTAGGTAAATAGATAGATCAAATTTTTATTCACAACAACTTTTTTCTAATAGATAATAATGGAATCATGCAGGTGCCGCTGGTAACTGTATAGATTAGCTGGATATTAGTGAAGGATTCTATGATGAGCATGAGGTTATGTAGGCCTATCATGATGCATTCACTAGGAATTAACCACGGTAATTTCAATGGGAACCGCGTGGAGGTCGATAAAATATTGTCAATTCTTAGCAATAAGATTACTATACTATTTTTGATGACCTCGGTGGTCTAGCGGTCTAGCACACCGCTTTGCGTTCGATGGTCGCGGGTTCGATTCTTTGCACGGCACAAACATTTGTATTCATGATTACGATTGTTTGTATCGGTCTGGGTGTTTTATAATATGTAATTATTTACAAAAAAAAATATATTCATGTATTTATATCAGTTGTCTAGTACTCATAACACAAGCTCTGATTAGCTTGGGACTAGATGGCGCTGTGTGAATTGTCCTGAGATTATTATTATTATTCCCCACTAACAGTGCCTTTCTCCCTATTCATATCAACTGAAATACAATTAATGCTACAAACACAATACATTCAAAATATGTTTATAGATAGTTGACATGTTATATTGACAGTTGAGAATCCCTCTGGTACTTACTACACTAAAGGAGTACTTTAGGATAATAGTCGTGAAGTTATATACATACCTAACTCCTCCTCTCTTCGTATCGTAGTTCAGCAGTCTTGCACCATGCTTCCAGTTGACCTGACGCGTAGGCTGCGGCACCTCGCTGACTATGCACCGCAACTCAATAATCGAGCCTTCTTTGTAGAACTTATCTTGAAGTGGACGTCCACGCTCGTCTATTATTTCTACTTTTGGCACTGTTAAACAAAACAGAAACATATGATATTTTTTTTATAATTTGTACAGCACTATCTGGTTCCAAACTAAGTAGAGTTTAGACTAAACATTGGGTACTAACAGTATTTATGACCATTTTACTTAGCGTCATCTAGTCTAGAACTTATGCTGAAGAATTTACTTAACTTAGGTAAATGCTGAACAACATTTACCTAAGTTAAGTAAATATCAAAAGTGTGCTTTTCCCACCGCTTTCTGTTTTACCCAGTGGTTAGCTGGTAAAGAATTCCATATGGCATTAAGGTTGCTAATTGTATACATTTTTTAAATATTACATAAAAAATATTATGCACATAATTAAGAACTGATAGAAATACTTAAATATCATATTCGACCTCGGTGGTTTAGCGGTCAAGCACACCGCTTTACGACCGATGGTCGCGGGTTCGATTCCTCGCACGGCACAAACATTTGTATACATGAGTATGATTGTTTGTATCGGTCTGGGTGTTTACTATGTATAACATGTATGTAACAAAAAAAAATATCTATGTATATGATAACACAAGCTCTAAATACTTAAATATATATTATTATATTTTTTTAAACATATAGTTACTCAATTTACATATAAAATACCAAGATTAATACAATCAATCATATTTATAATACAAATGTTTGTATCAAATCCATGACCATTGACGTAATAAGATAGTATGTCAAACCGCTAGACCACCTAGATAGTCATACAATACTGCTTTATTGCACAGTAAATAAAATTAAAATCCATACAAATACGAGGCATTCGAGTATTCGTGTTTCGCATACGACCTGGTGACAGACGTGATTCGACTTAACAATTACGCAATTTTGAATTTTCCTGACATATAATAATAGTAATCTTTATGAACCACCTTGAAAGGCGTAATTCAGAAAGAACTCGAGAGAATATGCTTGAAGTTATTACTGTTGTAGAGTTGTGATTTTTATTTAATAATAATAATAATATGTCTTCATTGGAACTCAAAAATAATATTTTACAAAGTGAGTAACAATAATACGGTATAATAATAATAATAATATGTCGGGACAATTCACAGCGCCATCTAGTCTTAAGGTAAGTAGAGCTTGTGTTATAGGTACTAGACAACTGATATAAACAATAGATATATTTTTTAGAAATATGGAAAACTTACAAACCGATACCAATAATCATACACATAAATACAAATGTTTGTATTTATGTGTATGATTATTGGACGTAAAATCTAACTTCAAGTCAAACATTCATTCAGCAGTTAGTCGAGATATACCAACCGGAGTAACCAGACAGACAGATATACTTTCGAATTTATTTAGTAGTAATGTAACTCATATATCGTTTGTAAACAAATGTATTCACAAAGAATAGGATTATTGTGAAAACATAATTAAATATTTATAACAAAATTTGTGACTAATTGAATATTATTTAAGTCCCACGGGATTATGTGGAGTTTAATCGAATGAAATCGAATTACCACAAATTTTAACTCAAATAGCATTATATGAAATTAATCTTTACTGGTGTCATCATTGGACATATTTTTGAACCAAAACAAACAAAACGTATATATTTTACTGTTTGACACAAACACCCATGCAGTCATGAAGACTGCAAATGTTTACATCGTGTAAGGAATCTAACCCGCAACCATAGGAAGAAATAGAAATATTCTTTATTCAAATAAACTAAATACAAGCACTTTTGAATAGTCATGATGAATAATGAATCACAATGAGCAAGTAATGCTTATATTAAGTTTATTTGAATAAAGATTATTTCTATTTCTATTTCTAAATAATTTTATTGAACAAAGTCTATCCCGATTTGTAAAGCAACCGACTTATTACATTTTCCTTCACTATATTTGTGTCTATGCGCACAGATTTGTCAGTGACACCTATCTGTCATTGTCAAAGCCTTTAGATCCAGGATCCAAATTGAAATCAGAGAATAACCTTTGACATCTTAGGTTAAAGTTACGGCAATGTAGAACCGAAATTGGAATTCTTTGGCTGGTATTAGACAATCTCGTAACTACATACTGTTTGAATTTTCCTGACGTTGGTTACTGAATACTTAAGTAGTGCTTTTTATTTAATTTAACTATTAGTTACTTAGATATTGGTAACTACACAAAAATGAATTATAAAATAAATAAACTATTACCTTATAATAAACTCTAGTACTTATATATTGTATACTAGCTTTTGCCCGCGGTTTCGCTCGCGTTAATTTATTCCCTTAGGGGTGCAATTTACCAAAATCCTTTCTTAGGGAATGCTTACGTCATAGTAGCATTATGCATGCAAAGTCTCAGCCCGATCGGTTTAAAATTGACAAAGTTTCATACAAACTTTCATCCCCTATTTTATCCCCTTGGGGGTAGAATTAATCAAAATCCTTTCTTAGGGGATGCCTACGTCATAACATCTAGCTGCATGCCAAATTTCAGCCCGATGCGTCCAGTGGTTTGGGCTGTGCGTTGATAGATCACTATGTCAGTCACCTTTGAGTTATATATATTTAGATTAATATTATAAAGGAGTAAAGTTTTTTTTACAGTCTACCTTTAGTTTGATTGAGAATCAGTTGGCTCAAATTAAACTATTTGGATCAATTTCAGTATTATATAATTAATAATAATAACAATTCATTCATTTATAAACTTAAGAGCAACGCTCTCGTCGGTGGAGCTCTTGCCACTTTCTACGATCTTTCATTATACTCTTTAAGCCTTGATACGATACTACTCCAATTCTGTCTTTAATTTGTTTGATGTAACTGTGCCTTGGTCTTCCTCTCCCCCTCTTTCCTTCCATCTTTCCCTCAATAATTACTTTCAAAAAATTCATCGTGTTGTGTCAAGTGCCCTAACATTTATCCTCGTCTCTCATCATAATAACAATATCCCTGAACAATTCACACAACGCCATCTAGTCCTAAAGTAAACAGAACTTGAATTATGAATATACCTAGCTAAATGACATAAAAACTTATATACATCTTTTTGTTTAAATACATATACAATATACATACAAAACACCCTGATACAAATAATCATACTCATGAATACAAATGTTTGCACCGTGCGAGGAATCGAACCCGCGTCAATCGGAAGTAAAACGGTATGCTAAACCACTAGACCAGTGAGAAAATTATTTATTACAAAGCTGTTATCTTACAACATGACTATTTATTTTGATTAATGCTTTTGAATATGTGCCAAGAAACAGTTATTGTTCACAACACTCAATTAGCGGGACAGTCGTAAAAAGAAAACAACATCGCAAGTACGGAATGAAGCAGAAAACGTGTTATATCTACGTGGTTTTCTTTTTAAATCACCTTAAAAAAGAGGAGGTTGTCAATTCAAACGGAATTTTAATTCGTTTACGAACCTCAGAACTTTTCACTACGTTATAGATTTTTATTACTTTGTTTAATTCCGCTACAATTAACATGTGTGAGATCACACATATTCGGTTCGAAAACTTGACTATCGTTATGACTCTCTCTAATGGTGATCAAATTCTGACTAAGTCTACCCACATTACGACACGTGTTTCGCCTCTGAACTAGGCATCATCAGGCATTGCTTAGATTAGAGTTCGAATATAGATTGGAAGCCTGGAGTTGATTGTTCGGCGACTGAACCGAAAACACAGTAACTGTAGCGGAATTTAACAAAATAATAAAAAATTATTTGATTAAGTACTGAATAGGACTTCCGCAAAATAATACCTAATTTGATTAAAGAGGGTTTTTTATGTTATTTGCTCTTTTAAATTTTCCAAATAATATATAGCTGTTAATTAATAATAACAATTACAATGTTAGCATTGTAAAACGTTGTGATCTGGGTTGTTCACTTATTTACTATTCCAGTTAATTACCATTGTATTTCTCTTGTAAATTATCTTTATATATAAAAATTATGTGTCACGTTGTTTGTCTGCGATGGACTCCTTAACTACTGAACCGATTGCAAATTTGATTTGCACATTGTATTCAATTTGATCCAACTTGAAAGGTAGGATAGCTTACATCTCAATTTATAGTCGCAATATTATTTTATTGCCAATTATTTTTATATATAAAGAAACAGTTAGCCACAACAATGCTTGCCCGGGTCTGCTAGTGTATATAAAATGGACCAAGAAATTTCTGTGCGTAACCCCAATACAATTTAATTCTCCAACAACTAAAATTCTCCACAGACCTTCTTCACGAATTCATTTTGCACTAATTTTGTTAGCCTTCTCGTGTCTAATACTATTAACGGACTACCGAAACCGTGAAATTAAAAAAAACTCTAAAATAAAGTATACGCCAGAAATAAGGATGTATATCACGTACAGACTAGAATTTTAATTTGTATACTAACTGATGCCTGCGACATTGTCCGCGTGTTATTTGTCATTCCTCCGATTAAGGCCTTCAAACTCACTCGATCTCGATCGACACGATCTTTAAATAAAATAAAATGTTCTAACTTACGACAATTTTATGATACGAAACTTATTTCAATTATATTGCAAGAAATGAGAACCTCGTCTGGAATCGAGCATGAAAAAAGAAATTAGATTAAATTGTCAAGGGTTGACGAAAATTTTCAATTTTGTTTAGCTTACATTATGGAAGAATTGATCTCAATACCTTATAATATTTCTTAATAGACTCATTTGATGTAAATTGTATCGGAATATGGACAAATAGCTTGGTTGCCTGAATTACAGGGGAGAAAGTTATATAGCTGTGGGGGTAACGCAGCTGAAGTCCAGTCACAACGCGTGTTTCAAGGTGTTTGTGGCCCGGGTCCCCACTAACATGTTGTCCACCTTCATTAAGGAGGACTACTGGTTGAAGAGTGTGAATATCGAATGCCATTATCAGTGCCACAGGATCAATTTCAGTATACCAATATATTAATTTTATAATATTAATTCATATGTATGTTAGTCTATAAGGTATTTATAATATGGGCCTAGTAGCCTGAAATAAATAAATGAACGCAAAAACCCGCAATACGCAGCGTCTGGCCTTGGCTTTTGAATTTATTGTATCACAAACAGAAAAGTATTAATTTAAATTTACGATTAAATAACTTGTACAAAAGTCGGTCTCTTTAAACATTCACTTCCAGATGACCTTTAGGTAGAAGGTAAAGATATGGGAAAAACAGTAGGTGGTGTACATAATAACACAAATAATATATTCATTGAAATATATTTGTAAGCGAAGGGACTGTTAATATTGTGCTGGTAAACGTAATTATAGAAAGATTTTTTTAGGAATAAATAGCATATTTTACATGTATTGAAAGAAATACAGGTAAAAGAAGAATAATAACAATAATACAATATTTTCTGTGTAAAAATATGTCTATAAACTATACATTTCAAATGTATATACCATACATAATACATTGACGGACATACGATACAAAACATATGGTATATACATTTGAAATGAATGAAAGTTTATAGATCTATTTTTTATGAATTCACAGTGAGCAGTACGTGTGTAATTTAGAACAGTGATATGAAATGAAGCCGTACCTCATAACACAGTCCATTATCAAGAGGTATACTTGTTTACACAAAAGATTCAAACATATAGCCTAACGGGCCGTTTCTGTATCCTAAAAAAGCAGGCCCAATATTTATAAGTCCACAAAACGGCCAAATATTTGGTCCGCATTCATTTTCCGGTTACCGAGATAAAATCGTTTTTGTACGAGCTCGAAACAAATAACCAATAATAATAAATAATAACTGTTTATGTTATGTTTATTGCCCGACTTCCCATCAAAAGGGGGGTAATGTTTTTCAATGTAATGTGCATACGTTTATTTATTTGAACATTAAAGCGAAATGGCGGTTGTTATGGCTACTTATTTGAGTTAGGTTCATTTTTTATTAGGTTTTTTTTATATAGAGATATTTTTTCTATAGAAAGTAATTACACCATGGACATTAATTTAGTGGTCTTGCGGTTTAGCAGACCGCTTTACTACCGATGGTCGCGGGTTCCATTCCTCGCCTCCTCCAAATTCAACAATGAACCAGTGTGTCTAGGATGATCGTGTGGAGATCGACTTAACATAGTACATTGCTAGCAAAACCTCTATTCCTCGTTATAAATAATCCCTCCCCTCACTAGTCCTCGAGAATGGTGATGCAGGTAGGAAACATGTGATGTCCATACTGCTGTTTATGTAAACAGGCGATGATTACCACTTACCATCAAATGTACCGTCAGCTTGTTTACTATTCCAATTATGTAAAGAAAGATATCTGATAATAACAGTGTCATATGTATTTAATCATTATTCACACACTCGAAGTTACGTGTATCAAGTCATCATCTCATCTCATCATCTGCTTCTTTCTTATTCCATTTATTTGAGGTTAGCGTAATATGTTTTTCTCTTCTATTCATCCATGTTCACAGTCATCCCGTTATTTACTCCCCTTACCATATCATCACACAGTCCATCCATTACTTTTTCAGCCCTAATATCCATCCACATTAATATATAACACCTTCCTTAAAATATTGTCTTCATTCCCACCCATTGCGTATATCAAGTCATTCGTATTAATTTCTTTAAACAGCTTTCATAATACCCAAATAAACATCGTATAAACAATTTTAATTTGTACAATAAAACAAAGCGAACCCTAGCGTTAATTTACGAGATAATCAAATATTTATCTTCGAAATATATTCAACGATAAATCTCTCCGTATTAAGGTTGAGCTTGCAATGTTTTATGCCAACAAGAATGGGTTGAGTGTGTAACATTTTTTTTATATGACTGTAATGGCAAACAAGGCTTATAATAATAATAATAACTGTGAACAATTCATTAAAATTAAATAGATAATGATGACTCTTTTTGAAATTTTACTCTTATGACGGTTTAACATATTATAATTATTCTTCTACCATATATATAGACTCCCTTATTGGTCTAAATATAATTTAAAAACTATTATTTATTGTCTAATAAATAACCCTGGACAATTAACACAACGCCATGTAGTCATACGGTAAGCAGAGTTTGTATTATGGGTACTAGACAACCGGTTTAAATACTTAGATTTTTTTTGTAAATACATCCATAACATACATAGAAAACACCCAGACCAATCACATAATTAACTCATGAATACAAATATTTGCACCATGCTAGAAATGAAACCCGCGACCATCAGAAGTAAAGCGGTGTACTTAACCACTAGTTCGCCGAAGATTAAATTACACAACATCATAACATCACCAAACACTGTTTGACTCTTATGCGTTGCCATTTCTAACGAACGTGCTTGTAAATTTCTCTCTCTGTTACATAGATCCCCCGTCCAATTCAAACGAGGATCGAATTTACGATGACCTGAGCCGAGATTCAAACTTCTAGCGATACCCTCTGCGGGTATCGCTAGGAGTTTGAATCTCTATTGTGCATAGTGCTGTTTATGTAAACAGGCGATGATTACCACTTACCATCAAATGTACCGTCAGCTTGTTTACTATTCCAATTAGGTAAAGAAAGATATCTGATAATAACAGTGTCATATATATTTAATCATTATTCACACACTCGAAGTTACGTGTATCAAGTCATCATCTCATCTCATCATCTGCTTCTTTCTTATTCTATTTATTTGAGGTCAGCGTAATATGTTTTTCGCTTCTATTCATCCATGTTCATAGTCATCCCGTTATTTACTCCCCTTACCATATCATCACAGAGTCCAGACTGAAGTCGGATCCGTCAGGCAGGAGTTGGCATTGCTTAGTACTTTAGTAATGTTTTTTTTTATTACGTGCTGGCAGACCCGGCCACGTGCTGCTGTGGCTAAGGTTCTTGAATAAAATAATATTGCAACTATAAATTGAGATGTAAGCTATCTTACCTTTCAAGTTAGATCAAATTGCACACAATGTGCAAATCAAATTTACAACCCGTTCAGTAGTTTAGGAGTCCATCGCGGACAAACAACGTGTCACGTAATTTTTATATATAAAGATTTTTGATAATTATTTAATTTTATGACTAAAGTATAGTATACGCTCTATAGTAAAGAATTGGTAATTTCATTTTTTTACACTTTTAATACATTATACTGTTGCCACGCTGTAATATATAGTAATATTATTAAAATAAATCTATGACTAAATGATACATCATAAATTGTGCATGAAATAAATTAATTTATATAATAATGAAGACAGTTATGATTTTATGTTATAATAAGTAATTAAAAGAAGACTTCAAAATAGATTAAGTTATTATATTAGAAGAGGCTGTGGTTGTTTTCAAATGATATAAAAAAGAATAAATTATATTTATACAGCATTACTTTGTGGGATTATTAATAAAAATTTGTACTATTTTTAAATTAATTACTAAGTTAAAACCTACTCTCGTAACGCTGAAAATAACTCCCACATAGTTATTTCTGTAAATTAAAATATCCTAAAATAATTGTGATGGTGCAAAGGTGGACAGAATTGCTTATACTTAATAATTCTCTATTAAAAAATCTATAAAGATAGAAAAGAATTTCTGTACATACAGTAAACTTTTCTCTCATAAGTTATCGAGTCTAGAAAAGGGAATACCGAACAAATTCAAACCAGTCAGCCATTTTATAACTACATTGTTACATGCTTTACTTCAAAAAGAAATTCACGATTCAATATTTTCTAACATTCGAATCGTCGTTGAGGCAAAGGACCTGTAACTCAAGGTTATAAATAAAACACGTTTATAATAAATGTTGCGTGCAAAAAAAACCTCTAAAATAACTTAATAAACCGTAACGTATTTAAACACAAAGGAAATCTATAATTCCATGAAATAGCCTGTTATAAATCTAGATTCGATGCTTAATAAACCAATCTAAAGAAACATATTAATAAAAAATTACTAGTTTGAAATTGTTACAATACTTGAAGACAAACTGTAAATTTAAGGTTTTATAAACGTTTGTATTTACGAATATGACTGTTTGTATCGGTCTCGATGTTTTCTATGTTTATTATTAGCGTATTTACAAAAAAAAATCTTATACATACAAAACACCCAGACCGATACAAATAATCATACTACAAATGTTAGTACCGTGCGAGGAATCGAACCCGCAACTATCATAAGTAAGGCAGTATGCTAAACTGCTAAACCACCGAGGCCGTTATATACATAACAATAATAAAAAGACAGTTTACTCATTTTAATATTTATTTTTTTTAGTTGGTTAAATACAGATGCTTTTAAAATACGCTAACACATTACAAACGCATCAGCCTGTAGCTGAATTTGTATATAAACATTGTAATATATAAAATATTGGACCATTATCTCAACTCAATTTCACAAAGTCGTGTATGTGAATATTTTTTCCACAAGAAACGTTTGGCATCCAAGATCGTTAAAGATAAGGGGTGGAAGAGCGTAAAGTGTAGGGTTCCATAAAAGCTATAATAAAATTGTAAGCATCGAAGTCTGTACATTTAAAATAACAACTAACAAAGGTATAAATAAAGTACACGGTTTTTATAATAAAACTTTGTCTTTATATAGACACAAAACAAAGTTCATTTATAAAATAAAATGTGTGCTGGGACATATAGTAGAAGTGAAACTTCAACGGACAAGTGGAAAAACTAATGACAAGGAACAACTGGTAAAACAAATAGCAACTTAAAAAAATAATTACTTCAAGTTTTACAGCAGATTGTTAATTTATTTGTCCAATTTCAAAAGCTTATTGTGCGCATAAAAAATTAAACATTGCTAGAATATCTGTGTATACTTCACTGTAGCATATTTAATATTTATCATAGATAATTTCATAATCTGACGAATTTCTAGGGGT